TTAAATAAATAATATTGCGTTTAAAGGCGGAATAATCTCTCTTAGTATTTTAAAATTTTATTTAAAATTTAAAGTGAAAATTAAATTAAAAAATTGAAAATTAAAAAACAATACTAAACCTAAAACTACATATCTTTATATAACAAATAGCATTTTACATAGCTAATATATATTAATTTTTTTATAAGTTTCTAAACAATATAACAAGCAATAAACAATATTGTCAGAGACACTGAGTAAGTTGTTAAAAATATCAACATGATTTTATGACGGAATTAGCAGGCGAGTGACAATTTTTCAGCTGACGCGCACACTTCTGCTCACACATATCCTATTGGTTCGATTATTCATCGACTCGCGTTCGTGGTGTGTGCTCGTCACGAGAACTTTGCCGGCGAAGCTGTTCATTTGTCGGTGTTCCAGCCACGGAAACGAGTCACCTTCTTTCTGCGAATGACGTTTGAGAAAAGTGCTCCGTTTAAACATCGGCCGTCGATATCTCATCTAACACAGACGCGCGCTGTCTCGATATTGACCCACGACACCATTTCCGATCTCCCATCTCCAATCCCTAATGGCAAACTGTCTCTTGCGCAAAAAAACACGAAACAAACGAAACGCGTTTTTCTCTTTTTTTTTTTTTTTTCGGTAACATTTGTGCGCATCTTTTTTTTATCCGGGGATCTCGCGTGATTACAACTAATTGCACTGTAGCCCGGGGGAAAATTTCGGGTCGCCTGAATATAAATATACATGACGCAATTTAATTTAAAATTCTATTTCGTGAGTTTATTTATTTTCTTTTTTTTTAAATTAAAAAAAAATTTAATAATACTACACGGTAGTCTTAATTTACAAATTATTCACGCCTACACATTTGGAAACATTAGGTATTCAAGTTAAAACTTATATTGCAATTTTTCTTGTGAAAAAAACACAATGAAAAATTTCGACGAACAAAACCGTTCGACGTTATCATCTCGCGTGGATTTTTATCGCGCATCTTTGCAGAGTTCGGAAAATCTCTCCGTCCCGACTTCTGAGCGCGTCATTATCGGTATTAGAGCGACTGCTGCGACGACGATTGCCGCATAGATTATGCAGCGGTCGCGCGTTTGCACTTTCGTGTTTGCGCGCGCGCGCTCGTGTGTGCGTGTGCGCTTCACGATGGGTTCTGCAGCGGGCATCAATTAGTTGAGGCAACGGCTTACAGAAACAAGCTCGTCCCCAATCAAATCGAAACACGATCGAGCTGCGTCGAAAGGGGACGAGGGCGTTTCCTACCCCTCTTCGTGCCGTTATCCGCGCGTTTTCCCTTTTATCGCACGAATTCTCGAATCGTTAAACACGCGGCTCGAACGAACGTTTAGCACATCGTTCGACAAGTTCGCTCCATTTGTTTAACAAGAACGAACGACAGAGGCAAATAAAATCACAGAGTGGCGTTCTCTGCAACAAGCGAAAGGGATTACCGTGTGATTGCGTTTTTAATTAAACATTTCTTCATTAAAGCAACTTCCGTTTGTTCGACCTACTCCGTTAATTGCAGTCAGCGGAGAGACTGTTACTTTTATATGCACAATTGCTATACTTTCTCCGAGAGAAGCGAAGTTTGTACCTTTGATTTGGCCTTCAATCTCATTCCCTCATTTTTATTTACGTAGTAATCTCGTATGTATGTGTGTGTGTGTGTGTGTGTGTAAATAACTCGCGTAGTTTCCAATAGGAAGATAAACTGGGTATAAGCAAAAGATAAATCGTTTCTGTATTAAGTTTAATTTATTTTAAAAACACGTGAATACCTAAACTTTAAATACAATTTCAACAAAATATGTGAAAAATTTCATATGTAAAATATATCTTTTTAAATAAAAGGTGAAGTATTCAGGTGTTATCTACAGTTCTTATTGGTAATTCTAATTCAATAGATACGTTAAAAACGGCAAAATTGAGCCAATGCGGGATGATTCACGCATAAATAATTGAATATTTTAAGTTTCAAGACGTTTCGACTCTATATATTTTAGATATATAAAAATTTAGATATAAGATACATATTTATATAAAATAAAAAGATAGTAAAAAAGTATATAAAAGTATATAATAGTATATAAAAGTATATAAAAATATATTTTTTTATTTTTTATAATATGTATTTTTTTATTAATTTACTTTTTTGTTCGTAGAGAGAGAGAAAGAGAGAGAGAGAGAGAGAGAGAGAGAGAGAGAGAGAAACGAATTTACGGCAGAAGCGAGACGGTTGTTTCGCGAGATGCTAATTGAATCGCGGCAGCACTCTCTTCTTTAGATTTATCCGGAACATACAGTCAAAGCATCACCTGCTTTCAGTAGCTTTCGAGAGATCAACTTTGTTGGTTACATTATAGGTAAGACGTTGCGAAACAAACTTCTCTTTGAAATTCTGAGAGAAAGTTTCCTTATACCGAACTGACGCACGAATTTAAGAATAGCGATGGATTTCGAGCAATGCGACTCGTGGGCGAGCACAAAAGGGGTGTTGAAAATGTCGATTCGTACGAGCGAACGATCTTCTATTTCCTGCTTCTCGTTTCTCATCTCGGCGAAGTTTAACGGCAGATGATCTCTTTGGAAAGCAATCGTGCGAAAAAATAACGCCGTCAGTTCCGACAAAAAAAAAGAGAAAAAAAAAAAAGAAAGATTTTCTCGGCAATGTGGCCTCGGCAACCGTATGCGCCTTCGCGGAAAATGTAATTAAACTGCAATAGAGTAACGCAGTGGGAGGGAAGGGGGGGAGTAAGCTTTACGCCGTGTCGTCAATATTAAACGAGAAAGTTATCGCGTCGAACGCAATCTGCCGCCGTCAAACTGTAACGCAATTAGGGAGGAAGGATAATTCTTGTGGAGAGTTTACGGGGGAGGACGAGTAAATGGACTTGCCTCTTGTAAGTTTTGCAGTTTTGGTTTTTCTTTTTGACAGACATGAAGATTGAGTAAATGTTTTTTATCGTAAAAACATTATAGTAATGTGTTTACATGACTAACGTAAACATTTTTTTATTTATAGCACAAATAAAATATAAAATTAAATTTAAACGATTATATATTGCAAGTATACGCATATTGCAGAATTGTTCGAGTCTCTCAACAATCAAAAATCTTGCAAAAATTTCTGTACGGAATTTTTTTTATTGTGAATGAATTAAGGAACCAATACGAGTTAATGTTATTAGATGTTTGAACAATTTTTTTCTTTAGACTTTATTCCTTATAAAAGATTCGATCCTATTTTTATAAGGGATTTTTTTAAAAGTATCTTATCAAACACGGAGTTTAATGATGATACGCATTGTTGTTGTAATATATGTCTTTGATAAGATTTGATACTGAGGAGAATTTTATAAGAAGGATCGAAACGTTTATCTTTAAAAAATACCTAGTAACGTTATGGAATTTTTTAAAAGTATCTTATCAAACACAGAGTTTAATGATGATACGCATTATTGTATTACATGTTTTTGATGAGATTTGATTTGATTTGATACTGGAGGAGAATTTTATAAGAAGGATCGAAACGTTTGTCTTTACAAAACACCGAGTAACGGTAGCTCGTACGGGATTTTTGTATTACTTTGTCGCGCAATCTTACGTTTATGATCTCGTGATATTTCTAGAGGTGTGTGTTTTTTTTTTTTTTTAATACGCGTGAGAAATTTTATTTTAAATGTGATTGTTTGATGTTTTCGGATCGCGCGGTCCTCAGAATCGACACAACAATCGGATATCAGGTAGGAAACGAGTTGGGAAACACTGCGGAACGTGTGTTCGGCGGCGCCCACGCGTGTGCATACCCAATGCAGACGGTCGATATTAACGATAAAGCGATCGTTGTGCGCCTTTGTTCGTTCGTTCATTCGGACAGTCAGATCTGCGCTCGTTAAGCCGCCGCGCAATATTGCGCTAATTCAATCGCGCGCAACGAAATTGTTTTGCAAAGCGAATTCAAGATTTTAGATTTCCCCCATTTATTCTCATTTATATGCACATTCGCTCTCTCTCTCTCTTTTTCTCTTCAATATTTCTCCACACTCGAATCAATCACCTTAAAGCCTATTTTATTTGTTCGAACTATCACGTATTTTTCTCAATCATTCTTTTATCTCAACAATTCATTCAACTTTGTTTTTTTTTTTTTTTTTCAAATTCTATTTGGTATATTTACCAATTTGTTTGTTTTTTTATCGATTAAAATTGATTTGCCACACTTGGCACATTTATATCTCCATTGCCGTTGATAATTTGCGAGAAAACTGTGGCGAACGTCACCGTTCGCGAGCGTGGAACTTCGTACGCGCGATAAGGAATGCGCTCACACGCGCGCTCTCGATCTCGCGCGTCGTGATTCATAAACCTGTCGGGCAATTATCGAGCGTGCTCCGTGACTAATTGATGGTCGTTGCCTCACAGGGGGGTCACAATCGTATATGTCTATCCGTTCGCGTCATCGTTTATTGCCGCTTGTTCGCCCATTAAATGAACGTACATTACAGCTCTCGCGCTATATATATATATATATATATATATATATACATACAATATATATGTATGTATATATACACGAGTGAAAATAAAGGGCACCGGGCCAGAGAACTCGGGAGAGCCCTCTTATGCCCAACCCACCTCCACTGTGTTTCTTCTAAGGGCTTCGGGGCGAGCCCTTGTTGTGCCGCGAACTCGATCCAAACTCGATCTCGATCGAGCCGCGATACAAAAAGCGAGAGACGAGAGAGGAGCTGGATTTCCGAGAGACCGCCTCGCCCGGCTTTCGAGATACCTCTTTCTTTCTTTTCCTCTCTTTTCTCCCCCTCGTCTTTCTCTCTCGGAGGGAGCAGCAGCTGGCAACGGGCGGTCGGCGAACCGGCTCGATCATTCGAAGGTGCAACGCGGGCGCATCGCGGAACGCGTCGCCGGCTTTAGCACGGCGCTGCAATCGACGAAGCAGTACGCCGCGTGCCGCCGAGCTGATAGCACGTTTTCATCGTCGTCGCCGTCGTCGTCGTCGTCGTCGTCGTGCGATCAGGTTGCTGTGTGGTCGTCGTCGATAGTTCATTCGAGTGCACCCGTCTGCGCATTATTGCTCGCGCATTTCGTTTACCGCGAATTTCCGATTGACGTGAGCGCCGCGTTTCACGCGCCGCGCCGTTTTCATCGGCAATCGCAATCGATCAGTGGCTCGCTCACGATATTTGAGTATTTGTAATATGAATTCGGCTACCGAGGAATAATCTGGTATTTTTACACAATATATTGTTTTGTTTAAATTATAAAAGAGAAAGAGGGGAAAAACTATGGTTTAAGCAGGAAATGTATCTTTTGGTGTAGAAACGAGATTCTATCTCGTCGAAAGAGACGGGCGATTATTTTACGTATTTTTTTATGCGCGCATAGTTATTTTACGTATCTTCTGCGTCTCTAACGATAAACGGAAATAAATATCGCAGGAATTTGGGGCGCACAAAGACAGGAATTCATCAAATTATGATCGGCGTTTCGGCGCAGCGCATGAATAAAATACCGGGTTGTAAATAAAACGGTTTTGCGTGTGTGCGATATACATATATATATATATATAAATATATATATATATATATACATATATATATATATATATATACATATATATATATATATATATCGCACAATTCCAAAAATAATTTGGAACGCGTTGAATGAGGCAAGAAAATGATCATTCCGTTGTCGCCCCGACGTATGCGCGCGCCAATTTTTTTTCGTCCGTTTCCGGTCCGGTCGGTGAGATCCGTGCGAAATTACATCGCACCCACCTTCGTTAATTGCGCCGAGGTCACCGGATTTCGAGCCGACAATCCGCCGCGCAGCCCGTGTAATTCCGGAGTAAAAAGCGGACACGAGGAAGAAATAAACGGGAAAAACTTAGAATTTATTATTGTTTTGATACCGCATTTTGCTTAATGCGTGTACGACATAGGAAAAAATTCTCAGAAAATTTCCTCGGTTTGCGAGAAACGTTTGTTTAGTGAAATTGGAATTGATTATCATTAAAAAAGCACAGCATTTATAACAGAGAGAATTATATAACAGAATTATATAATAGAACTGTATACATATATGTAAAGTATATATATATGTAAAGAGAGAGAAAGAGAATAAGAGTGGGCGAGAATGAATGAAAGAGAGAATTGTTTTATTGATGACAGGACAAAGGACATTGCAGAAATGAACATCATCTTTGTAAACTCCGCTGTCAAACTCGCACATATTGAATGTTCCTTTCCCCTCTTCTTCCCCGATTACTTTGTAATTTCTGAAATGGACGTTTGACTCATTTATTTATTGCTGACGCAGCATAATTGCCAAGGTAAGCGCGAAGTATTTAAATTACGGTGCGAGACAGTTTCTCGGTACCTAACGTAGACAACGGAAAAGACTTTGCACATATAGCCGCGTACGGTCTCGCTTAATTAAGCCAATAATTTATCTCACGTGATAAACTAGGTGAGTCTCGCTGCGCGCGCGCGCGCGCACGAGCGCAAAGCGTTTGTTTCTCGCGGAGACCCAGAATTCACGTTCGTCCTGCGCCAGATCTCGCAAGATCCGGACGAGAAGAGAGAGAGAGAGAGAGAGAGGGAGGATTAGGATCTCGTTCATACGTGAGCGAAAGGAATCCAGCGGAGATCCGCGGATTGACGAAGGTGAGCAGGTTACCTGCGAGAATTCCCCCGTTGTATTCACGATTCCCGGAGGGGAAGTTGGCTCGATTAATCATTTGGTCGCGGTTTGAAATTTCGCTCGCTCGATTGTGTGTGAGAATTATCGTCACGCGCGCGAAAGCAACTTCCGACCTGACGATATATATTTGCCTTTGTATTTACGTCACGTGTGGGTTTTCTCTCATTAAATGACGAATAAATTTATTAATGCTTCGTTCTTATAAAATTATCTTTCGATCGTACTTCGTCATAAATAAACATATTCTGAGAACGAATTAATTGACACATTTCGCGTATCATAATTTTTTGACCTAGACTATTTTTTATTATTCTTTATCTTCCAACTGCAATTATATATCTTTTTCTAAAAGAAAAATAATTAAGATATGCGGACGATTACTACTCGTAAAGAATGAATCAATACCTAATTTATCAATTGCAAAGTAATCGACGAAGCGTTAAATTAGAGAAGTAAAATTGTTTTAGAAAAAAATTAAACAATTTTGTTTTTTTTTATCCAGAGTCAACTCACGAACGAAGACATCGGAGAAATGAACAAACGCGTAACACAGCTTCATTGAGATTCGTTAAAGCAAAGTAATAATTACTCAATGGTCGACATCAGGAAATTCCGTGGATTACTTGCTTGCTGAGTCTTTTTTAAATCAGACAGAAAGTCCTCCCTCTCTCTCTCTATCTCTCTGTCTTTTTCTCTCTCTTTTCCCCTCTCTCTCTCTCTCTCTCTCTCTCTCTCTTTATTTAACTGTCATTCTCTCTATTTAACTGCTCTCAATTATTAGCGAAGTGCATACAATCGATTGATGTGCGGCTTCGCTTGTGCGCGAGATGTTTCATCGACTGCGAGTCTCGAGGAATTTCCTCAACTCCAGGAATCTCATCTATTCCAATCTGGAATTCATTTGTCCATCCGGCTGCTTGTTATCGTTATATCACTGAATATCACTTTGTTTTGATATTAGTTATGCATGATACGCGTATTCGAATTACATCCGTTGATTATACTCTAAATTGCACAGTTCGCGCTTCAATTATAAATCTATTAACAAGTCGTTCTCTTTGTCGACAGATGAAACAAAATTTATCGAGTCTGTATATCAAATAAAAACTCGGAGAATTCGGGTGAGTTGAGTATCTTAAAACTTTGAGTGAAGTGAAGACGATAAAAAAAAAAAAAAAAAAAGTAGTGTTGCGTAAGATCTCGCAAGATGTAAAATTAGTGTTCGCCGCTGTGTTTCACGAAGCCGTTGGGACAAACGAACGTGTAAGTGAAACACGAGATTCGCGGGGGCTTCGTCGCGGACAGTGAGATGAGTGAGAAAAGTGCATTATCGTCTGCGAAGAACCGAGAAAGAGTGAGTGGAAGTACCTTTTGGAGACACAGCTGGCATTGTTCCGCCTATTTGTCAAAAGAATCGTCTCTCGCAAAACTCGGTAACCCGGCTCGCAGTTGGGAAAACATGGCGCGAGCTAAGACTGACAAGTAAGAGACTGTATATTCGATGCCACTCGCTTTGATTAAAGTAGAAAATACAGAGCATTCGCCGCAATTAGTCGACGAAAATATTTAAGTTAGCAAAGCTCTTTTGTAGTAATAACACTTCATGTTCTTTACCGCACGTATGTACATGTGTGTGTGTGTGTGTGTGTGTGAAACTCTCTTGTTTTTTAGTGAAGTGCAATTAAAAGTTTTGTAATTATAAATTTTCACTATTAATTTTAATCGCTATTTGATAGCGTTCTTCATTTTCTATATAATTTTGTAGAAATAACTTGTTGGCTTTATCATAAATATTTCCAATGTTTTATTGCCAATGTATTAAAAGTAACTTTATATTAGATTGTAAAGTTTTGAGTTTGATTGTAAACAATATTAAAAGATACACTCGAAATTTCCGTTATACCAATTAAAACGTAATTTTTAATTGATGTTTGGATTTATTTAATATTGTGTGTTTCACATTATTTAATAAATAAGTTTCATATTATTTAATAAATTTCACAGCCGTGAGCTTCAATAGAATCCGTGTACACGAACACGTTATATATGTGTATATATATATATATGTATGTATATATGTTTATATGTTACACAAGCGTATATGATACAACGTTTTTATTTTTACACACTGCTCTATTTCTTTCATATCTCGTTCCGTTGGGAATATTCAATCGATCTGATGTCAATTTTTAATTTAGTACCCGCCAATCAATATTACGACTCCGCTTGTATCAATACGACTCGCTGGGTTTCTTTTTTCCGATACACGATACATTTTCTCAAACCTGTCAGATGATATCTTTTCGCAATTGCCTTCGCGTTGTCGAGTAAATTCACACAGCCGCGCTTGATATATCTCGGTTTATTATACGAAATATCATCTCCAGAAATAATATCTCGATCTTCTAATATAAACCCCACTGATATTTTATTCTGTATGCTTTTGTCGACATCAGACGAATGTTTTTTAATTTTCATTAATTGATCGGTACCCGCCTGTCGCGTCGTCGCGTTTTTGTAGATTCAAAGTGAATTTCGGCCAGCCTTTTCAAAGCGAACGCATCGCGTTAATTGCGCGATCCGATCGCTCGGTGAAAAACAAAAAAAAAAAAGAAAAAACGAAAACGTACACATACATCGCAATTATGCCGTGCCTCTGTGAATGCACGGGACACCCGTAACGGCGGCACACGGTTGTATCGCGCGCGGGCGCAAAGCAGCATTTAGCATCGAAATGACATTTTCTGAAGGATATGAGGGCGAGAGTGTGAGAGAGTCAGCTATTTAATATTACGCTGTGAACGAAACGAATACTTGGTGTTTGCGACGTTGAATACACGAGAGGCGAGAGCTATCGATCGGGGAACAAAAATACACGCGAATCGCGCGGCAATCGCGAGCACTCGCGATTCGTGCCGAGCCGATCGTTTCAGCAACGCCGCGTGATTGCGGTCTCCGCGTGACGAAGAACTTCTTCTTCTTCAAGAATACGACGAACCGTTGAGCGAGAGAGAGAGAGAGAGAATCCCGAGAGAAACTTTTTCCACAAAGTAAACGAAAGATAAACGAAAATCCGTATAATTTACGCAGTAATTCCGTCACAAGATTACGCTTTGCAATTCGAATGCTTTCGAATCCAAGCGCGCCGCGCGATAAGCTGTCTTTCCGGAAGCTCAAAATAATCCTACGATGTTACCCGCATTTTCTATGTAGCATTTTCTATATATCTTAAGATAGTTATAATGTAATTTGTGTAAATATATTGAAACAGGTGAGAGAAAACAAGTCACGATGTAATAACATCGATAAAAATATTTCGGCACAAAAAAGTCTTTTTTTTTTTTTTAATAAATCATTCATAAAGAAATTTTACAGTGAGTTCCACTATTGTGCGATCTGCTTCTTCATTCGGTCTTCTAATTTCAAGAATATACATATCTCTTTTAAAAATTTGAGATACGCCCGTGTCACGAAGGGCTTGTGTCTCGAGAGACAACGCGAGAAAGAGAGAGAGAGAGAGAGAGAGAGAGAGAGAGAGAGAGAGAGAAAGAGAGAAAACTCGTGTGTCCAAGGCAGGTTCTTCCAGGACCAGTTTTTCTCGGCGCTGATGGCGCGCGGTTGGGTTTCTTCGTCTTCCTCGCTTAGGTCGTGCCGCGGACAATGAACAGCACGGATAACAGCCTCCCGGGTGCCATGTCTCGTCGATATCTCGGAGTCGCGTATTTCCGATCTAACTCCAATATTGTGGTAAAAAAAAGTGTTTTTTTTTCTCGTGCCGCGTTTTAACTTCTCGCGACGTCGAATGCGAATTATTCAACGAGAACTCGAGAACTCTCCTCCCAGCCCCTGTCCCACTTCTACGATGTTGCCATATTCCTTCGACCTCAGAATTCGTTAGGCTCCTCTTCATTTCCGGAGCCTCGAACTGTGCGCCAGATTGCACTTCTCATGATGAAGTGCCGTGACGCTCCGGAAAAAGGGCTCCATAAAGAAGATCCGCTTTTGCGAGTAACATTTTTAAGCGAAGTTCCGCCTTCGTAAGAGAAAAGATAACTTTTTTAAAACAATTGGAACAAGTTTTCTACGGGAGAGACTCGCTTTCTTACTACGTTTACAATAGCCGCGCGTTATTTGTATTATCCTGCAAGAGACTCGCATTGAATAATATAGTATACGGCATAATATACCATTTAAGCGTGACTGTTTTTTTCTTTACGTCGTACGAGACAAAGAATAGGTTTTAGAAAAAAAATTTCTCTTACTTTTTTGCTTCAAATATTTAAGTCCTTTTTTTTTATTTTACTGATTTTGTGTAAAAATAAATTGTCTCGTGTGTGTTGTATCTCGTGAAAGATGTAACCACTGGGTGAGTCTTTCTTCTGTTTGTTTTTTCTTAAGAAAAGAAATTAATTTTTATTTCTACTTGCAAAAATCAAAGGTGTGTTTCTCAATTTTGAATAGATGTCTTACATACATTTTTTTTTCCTCGCATTGAATCGCATTTCTATGTGATTATAAGGGACACCGTGAAAGAAAAGCAGCGGAAGAAGAAGAAGCGCACCAGCGCGTTAGTTATTGCGAGCGTGTGTGCACGTATGTGGTCCGAAGTTTCACCTTCGCGCGAAACACGAAACTGGTGGGGACTAACCACATCCTTCCCATGGTGGTCGGTGACCATTCACTGTCTCTCGCCGTCGTCACGCACGACATACACACGCCGCTAGACACGTATATCCGGCTCGTTCTAATGCACAACGTGGGTACGTCCCCCCTGTTCTCGATAACCCCGAGACATCTCGTGATAAGACACAATGACAACATAACGAAGATGTCAACCGAGTCCGTTGTGAAACTTTGATTTACGAAATCAATGATTATTTCGGAACCGATGAATTATTTGTTGATACAGATAAGTTCATTCTTTTATATGTAAATAAATGTATATAATATTTTTTTTATCTCTCTTTCTAGAGAGGTACGGTATTTAAAATAACATACACAAACAAATTTTATTCTAATCAAAATTTCTCGATTTATTCAAGATTATTGAAGATATACATAAATAACATACACATTTGCGTAAAGATATATATAAATAACATACAATTTTTGTAAAATGTTTAAACTTATAAAACGGCTTAAATCCGGAATAAAAAATATTAATATAAAAAAGATATTACAATTACAAGATTAAAGTGTAATTTTGTGTGTTATATATACATATATATACACTTTAAATAGAAAAAATATATAATTAATATATATATATATATTTAATTAAAATATTATTTGTAATTTTTTCTCTCGGTATAGTTATTTCTTCCTGAAGAACCTTTGAACTGTCAGTACGGATTAAAATGAAAACCGAAAGCAAAAGAAGAGAAACCGGACGGCCACTCCCGTTTCGCTTCCGGTAATTGTCAGTAATTGCTATCCGAATGCAGTCAAAGGGGTAAATAAGGGGACGAACGGGGTGGAACGTTAAACTTCCGAAGAGGAATCGTGACCGAATTGTATGCGCGGCCATAGTGGAGCCGTATATCCGTAACACAGTGGCACAGCTTCACGCGAAGAATTTTACAAGAACCCTCGAAACTCGAGGGGATGGTCCTTGTTGCGTTCTCTTCTCGCCTCTCCTCTTCTCTTCCAAAGAAGAATCTCCTTTCTCTGATAGATCGGGGGCGATTGTTAAAAGACTTTGTCACCCTCGATCATTCTTCGAAACTCCGACGCTCGTTTTCCGAGAGGGCACGGCACACAGAGGGAAAATTATCGTCTCTCGCGCAAGTTTCTGGGAAACTTAATAAAGATTTATGACGAGAATTTAATAAGCACCTCGTTGCGTCGTCGTCGTCGTCGTCGACTACACGTACACACCGTGACGATATTTGCGCCGACAATTTGCAGCTAAGTACCCGCCGAAGAGGTGGTGCTTAAAGTGCGCGCAGCGCTAATCTATATTCATGCTGTGTCATTGACATGCACGCAATAGGGCAAAGAATTGACATTAACTGGACGAGGAACTTATTGCAAACTTGAGAAACTGTATATTACTTAGCAAAGAATTTCATATCGTTTGATGAGCAGTTTCCACTTATGTGAGCTCGAAAGCGAATTGCTCGAGCGTGCTCGAGAGCTCTTCTCTCTTTGTTTTTAATTGTGTTAAGTCTTTAACTTTTTAGATCTTTATTTTATCACACGATAAAAATTAATTTTGATCTTATTAAATATATATATATATATATAATAATCTTTTAATCTTTCTTTCATAATAATCTTTTTTTCCATTCAAAATTATATTTTTAAATATTAAATATATAATTCCAAATGTATATAAATACATTCCGCTCTTATATATCTTATAATTAGATGAAAAATCATATATTTTTATGATATTTTAGTCAAAATCAATCAACAAAATCATTCACTCTTATATATCTTATAATTATATAAAAAATCATATATTGTTATGATATTTTAGT